GAAAGTACTTCGAAGAGTCAGAGCTAAGCATAAGGAGGCAATTTGCAGGGGCAGGATTGAGAAGTCCCTCCTGAAACACCAGTGATCGCTGCCCCATCTGTAGCTCTCAGCATAAACAGCCCCATCGTGAGATATCACATCAGCTTCCACACTAAAAATAAAGGTGTATGAACACTCAGTCCCTGAAGTGCCTGGAAAGGCCCAAGGCTGGAGCAGAGAATGGACAGACCACGACATGTAACCAAGCCCCACAGTCACCACTGCTCACCCAGGGCTGCCGTGGTGGCGGCAGAGGGATCACTAAAGGAGCTCCTCCAAGAGCTCAGGTCTTGGATCCCTTTTCACTCAGCACTGGGATTTATGGTCTCCCCAGTCAGAAGTGCTGGTGGATGGCTGAACATGGGCAGGATGCATCAACACAAGGGTGGGAGAACTCGGATGCCTTTAAGGGTAAATCATGCACTTCAGGATTAAAACACGAAACAAAAATCAAGTAATCCTGTTTTAAGCACTGAATGCTGCATTTGGAAAGGCAGGAGAGATCCTCCCTGTTCCACCATGCCCTGCACCCCGAGACTGCTACTTCCAGCCAGCCTTTGCTGGGGTCAGGCAGTAAGGCCCCAGTTACCAGTACTGGGATGGGCTGGTAAAAGCTCCCAGAACAAGGAAAAGAAGGAAAAGCTCCCAGAAACCTCTCCCACCTTTAAAAACCCATGAAATCTCCACTGTGTTTCTGCTTTGTTGACTTTCACTGTTTTTTCACAGTGAACTTTGTTAAGGCTAAAAAAGGACTGAAATTCACTTTTTCAGGGTTCACTTCACAAACCTGGTTTATGTGAAGGGTTGAGCTCTTTGTTTCCTCTCCACTGGAGTAACTTTGCTCTAAAGTTGCCAAGAACTGTTCCTAAACAACTGGAGTAGACAGGGAGCTGCATCTACCTTTAGATTTCTGTAACAGTGACTCCTATCACTGAAGCACTGTTCTCCATCCATTCATTAATGGGAAATAGGCAGTTTTAGTTCTTAATTTAGTGGACCTGCTTAGAAAAAGTACTTTGGAGTTAAATTCATCACTTAACATTTAAACTCATCATTTAAAACTAGCAACAACTCCAAACTTTGAGGATGGGAAGATGAAACCAACTGCAATGGCCCTGGTTGGAGCAGTAGGTGCCCCTGTTCAGGGTGAGAGTCACCACGAGTAGTCCAAGCTCCCTCCTTTTCCCCTGCCCTTTTGCAATAAGGCTGCTCCCTAAACAAGCAATTTTTTATCACTACAAGTGAGTTTTCTCTCTTTTTTAAAAAAGAAAACATTTACTAAAATTTATAAAGAATAATTATAATTTCTTTAAAGTCATTTCAAGTCTCCCAACTCTAATTATTTGTGGCCTGCTTAAACCAACTCATCGTTCCTTGGGGGTGTCACATGCCCTGGTTTGAGGATGCTGAGCTGCCTCAACAGAATTAGACCCTTTGCTTATTACCTACCCAAATTAATGAGACTGTAGCATAGGTGCAAGGCTGGCTTTAAATTCTGGAGGTTCTTGTTGGTTGTTTTTCTTTCTTTTATGAGAGGATGCTTAAGTTAAGGAAGGGCTGGACATTCTCTACCCCCCAGACCCCTGGAAGACCCTTTCTCTATTTTTACAGGACCTGTCACAGCACCCTCATCCCAAAGAAACTTCAAATGCTTCACATTACTCTGAAGTGATGCAAAAAAAGCTCAGTGTTTACTGAAACCTCCCAGTTGTTTTTGTCTCATCCTTTTCTTGAGCGACTTAAGCATCTATAACAAGAATTTCTTCAAGCCTCTTCTCCATCATGGGCTTAATCCCAAAGCAAGAGATGAAGAAGAGATTTGGGTCAAGCCCTGCCAGTATTACGCTCATTCAATCAGAGCACAAAGATCAGCAGCGTGGCACAGTTGAGCTAATTCATCCCTCACCAAAGCAGGAGAGGCTCTCTGGGAATTAACTATCAGATACATAAACTCCATAAAATAAACCTGAGCTGCAAAGCCTCACTCAGCTTAATTGAACAAAAACAACAACACAGCTGAAGTCATCTCTCCCATCTCACAGGCAAGCCTCGAGTAGGAGAAGAAACCACATTTCACGCGTAGATTATTGGTTGTGAAACATTCCCTCCCTTTCATGCTGGAGCCTTTCCAGGGATTCAATTTAATTCTCACTGACGTCAGACAGAGCCTTTCCTCTCCTTCAGAGAGAGCTGACTCTGGCTCCCCCTCAGCTCAGGAATTGTGAAGAACAGCACTTGGATTGGTCCCTGGAGCCAAATCTGGAGCCTGGTGGGACGGTGGCATGGTGTCAGGGCACCCTCCACACCACTGCTCTTTGTCCTGATGCTTCCTGGGAACAATCCATTTTGACTATATCAGACCTACCTGGAGGGGTTTTTCTTGGTTTCCAGTAGAATCACAGCTTTAGGTATAGAATCATGGAATGGTTTAGGTTGAAATGGACCTTAAAGCTCGTCTCATTCCACTCCCTGCCATGGGCAGGACACCTTCCACTATCCCAGGTTGTTCCAAGCCCTGTCCAACCTGGCTTTGGACACTTCCAGGGATGGGGCAGCCACAGCTTCTCTGGGCAACCTGTGCCAGGGCCTCCCCACCCTCACAGGGAACAATTCCTTTCCAGTATCTAATCTAAACCTGCCTCCAGCCAGTTTAAGAGGTTGAGAGAGATCATCCAGTCCAACGCCCTGCTCAAGCAGGGTCACCCAGAGCAGGTTGCACAGGATCATGTCCAAGTGGGTTTTGAATGTCTTAGAGAAAGATTCTCCACACCCTCTCTCTACAGCCTGTTCCAATGCTCTGCCACCCTCACAGTAAAGAAGTTTTTTCTCACATTCAGACAGAACTGCCAGGGTTAAATCTCTGGCCCCAGTGCCCCAGTGCAGACTCAGCCTCTCCTACACACTTTGAGACTATAATCCTGCACAGACACACCCAGACCTTGGCTGGGGAGATGCCTGGAAACATACACACATGCCCCTGGACATAGAGAAGGCTGGAGAACTCTAAATCTTGGGGATTCACTGGTGATGTGCTTCCCTTAGCATTAGACTTTTTCCATCACACTCTTTCCCGAGGAGTCAGTCCCACCTCTGAGCCCCTCGGGCCTCAGAACACAGGGCCGTGTGCCCTGACAGTGGGAGGTCAAATATTGATCCCCCCGGTTCTCCCTTCTCGCAGCTGTATTTTTGGCTGCTTATTTTCTGCTTTTATCAGCTCCTGCTCTCACAGCTCTGCAAGTGTTCTCCTGTTATTTACTGTCACGAGGAGAAGCAGAAAAAGCAAAGGAAGCAATTTTCACTCACTAATAACTTTCCCCCATCATGGACATAAGCCTTGACTTTTTTTTGACAAGTTGGGGCCAAATTATTAGCTGACACAGGATCATAAACCTCCGCAGACTTCAGAGAAGTTGCAGCAATTCACACTGGCTGAAAATCTGCCTGGAAACCTCTGTAGATAATTTGGTGAAAAGCAGAGGTTTCAACAAGTGAGAAATGGCAGATGCTGCAAACCAAAGTTGTTATTGCCCTTTAGTACTGTTGGTCACCAAATCACAGATCTCTGCTTTCAGAAACCATCCAAAATTGGAGGGAAACAGCTCAAAGATTGATTCCAACCATTCCCCAGCACTGCCAATGCTACCACTGATACATGTCCCCAAGTGCCACATCCACATGCCTTTGAAATCCTTCCAGGGATGGGGACTCCAACACTGCCCTGGGCAGCTGTGCCAGGGCTGGATGGCCCTTTCCAAGAAGAAATTTTCCCAATATTCAACCTGTACCTCCCCTGGCACAACTTGAGGCTGTTTCCTTTCATCCTATCCCTTGTTCCCTTGGAGCAGAGCCTGACTCCCACCTGGCTCCACCCTCCTGTCAGGGAGTTGAAGAGAGGGAGAAGGCCCCCCCTGAGCCTCATTTTCTCCAGACTGAGCCCACCCAGCTTCCTCAGCTGCTCCTCATCTGATGCCTAAATCATACTCTCTTCCCAATTCCATAAACAAACGAAACCAAACAAAGCCACAGTTTGCTTATTAGAACTGGTTTGTGGTGAGTAACCTCTAAGACAATTTAGAACACAACCCATTAGCAGAGGACTCAATTCCACCTAACAGTATCTAAACACAACAGAAGATGTTCAGAGTGCCAGTTTTTATCTCAGTAGTAGGAACACAAAGAAAGAAGATAAAGCAGTACAAGTTCCTTGCCACTTTCTGCTCTTGGCCTGCTGAGCAGAAGCAGCAAATAAGTTGCTGGCACTTCCAGAAGTGTTGTGGTCACCAGGAGTTCTCCCAAGAACCATCCAGCTCCCCTTGCTGATGTCATCACACCTGACTGTGCAGCCTTGGTATCTTATAGTGCAGGTGAAAAAACAATGCACAAGTGATAGCTTTGCACTGAACACACAGAATCAGGGAATCACAGAATCGTTAAGGTTGGAAAATACCTTTAAGATCATCAAGTCCAATCATCAACCAACATTCAGCCACATCACTGCCTGGTGCAAGGTGTGAGGACACGGTGCTTGACACTGGTTTTGGGGCTGCTGGAAAGCTGTTGTGGTTCACACCTTTCCAAGGGGCTCCATGTGCTGTCCCCAGCTACCCAGCCAGCAGAGCCCCAGCAGAGCTGGGGGTGGGGAGATGGAAAGGCAGGAATGAGGCAGCACCTGTCACGGTGCATGAGTCACACCAGCCTCTTCCAGGAAGTAAGAGGAGTTTCCATGGCTGGCAGCTCAAAATAAATGCCTTCTTCACTGATGAAACAACAAATGTGTGCAGCAGCTACCTGGGACAAACATGGTCCTCCAGTGCTGCCCTGCAAAGCCACTCTGGTACTCAAAACCCGTTGAGAAACAACTCCACAAACCAGAATTCTGAATTTCTGTTGTTGTTTCTTACTATAAAGAATTCAAACCACTCAAAAACTACTGCAGGGATCTACTAAGAGCAATGACTCACCAGCAGCTGCTCAGCAGTCGAGATTTTTGGGAGGTGAGAGGCTGCTCAAGTCCCTCCTGGATGGAGACCTTCAGCATCCAGCCTGGAGAAGCACTGTGGCTTCCAGGCTCAGCCCATCCATTGGATGCCTCACATATATTTGCTAAGCAGAGTCTTCTTCTCACAACCCACCCAGTCAAATTCCAGCTTTCCATAGAAAGACAATGTTCCTTCACTCCATTTTTCTAAAGAATGATCAATAAGTCTCTTATTAGGCAGCCAAGGGGAAAGGTGACAAGGCAGGCATCCACGTTCATGCTACAGAATAAGGGAACTGCCAATTTAACCCCATGGGAATATTGATGCTAAAAAAAAAAAGCACACATTTATTCTGTCCTAGCTGATGGAATGTCATTACTGAGGAATGACGGTAGCAAGCTGAGCAGGGGGAAGTGGGCAACGCTTTGTACCCACACAGCAACCTCCAAACTATCACCAAATGGCCAGAACTCAGGTATTCAGTCTGTCCTGGGGAGGAAAATTAAGTACTGTCATGTAGCCTCTGCAGCTTTTGCCTCAGTCTAATACCTTAATCTTCTTTTCTGAAGACCAGCTCCTAATTTTTAATTATGTCTCCATTTTTTTGCCCTGATTTTTTCTGTCCCAAAGAGCCTCTTCACTGGGAGTGTCTGGGTGGTCTCAGCAGTGTGAGGTTCATGGAGGTCACAGGGCTCATCACAGGTCATCATTGTTCTCCCACAACCGATGTTGTGACGGGGAAAGCTCCTCAGATCCTCCAGCTGTGTTATCCCTTGGCCCCTCTGTCTCAAACTCCATTTTCTTCCCTGGCTGTACCAGTAAAAGGTGTTTTTTACATGAGACATCAGAAAGTCTCTCACACCTGCTGCTTTCCACAGGTGTTCATATGGCCCCTCCACCACCTCAGCTTGACATCCATGTTGCTGATCCCTCCATTCTTCAGAACTGAATCTGCAATAAGAAAGAGCAACCTCAGCATTAAGGCACTAAATTGGCTCTCCAGTTTGTTCACAATACTGTTGTTTACAAGAGTAAAAGTAAAAATCCAAATAAACAAAGGAAGAAACCCAAGCAAGCAGAAGGAATGAATGACCCCTGGTTTCCCTGAGTTCTCCAGCCTCCATCAGAACCAAACTTCATCACCAATTAATAATTATTAACTATCTTCTTAATAATAGCTTCTAATTAATAATACTTATTAACTATTTTTGCTATTTTCAGGCTGCACACAATTCCTTGTTTGAGTTTTATTAAGGATGAAAGACCAACATGGGAACTGTTTTAGCATACAGAATATATGGCATCTTTCCATCCCTCATCAAGCAAATTAAGAGTTTGATGACAAATTCCCCAATTAAATGGGAGCAACTCAATTGACTTCAGTGGAGTTCCACTGCCTTACTCCTGCTAATTCCATTAAGCAGCCTTTGGATGACATTTATATAGACAGACTTCAGCCTCTCTCCTGTAATCTGGATATATGAGTGTCCCAAAAAGCCAGTATATAATTTCAGGGGGTAAATAATGCTGTCTTTCTCTCCTCAGCAAATTTGGCACCTTCTAAAGGCCACTGCTGTGCAGCAGCCAGGTCTACTCCTTATTTTAAACAGATTTTTTAACAGTAGAATACATGAACTTTGAGCTATCAAACAATATTTTTCTTAAAAAGAAAAAAGACAAGAATACACCTATTGCATTTTAAAGTAGATTTTTCAAGCTGTAAGGCTGGGACAATAGAATTTAAGTTATTTTCACTTCAAAACGGATCACCTTTGCTGTGGGAGGCAGTGTCCTGGTGTGGGATGCCCGGAGCAAGGTGGAGAATATTCCCAGCCTTGTCTGACCTTGCGTCAGCAGCACAGACAAACCCGTGCACTGCATTTTTTGGGGTGTCTGGGCTGTTTTTCTCACTGTGCCACAGAGGCTTTTCCAGTTAAGCCATCAAGGCTCCACAGATACTCCCTGTTGGGATGGAGCTGGGAATAGTCCTCCTGGGCACCCACCCCACCCATGGCTCCTCCTCAGCCCTTCATCCTGAGAGAAATCCTGAACATTCAGGGTGAAAGAGTGCACAGGATGGGTCCCCAGGGCCATGTGTGACGGGTCCCTGGGGCCAAAAGGGAGCCCAAAGTGCACAGGAACACCGGGAGCACCAGAAGCACCTGTGGCTGTGCTGTCAAGGAGGGTTTAAAGGAGCATTTGATGTTAGGGGATATATTTGGAGTATCAGAGCTAACACTCGACTCATTTATTGATGTACACGGGTTTTCCAACTCCCTGGGCTGGTGGATAAGGCACAGACTCGCTCCATTTCCATGTATTTCTTGCATACATAATGTACAATAATTATATCTGTATTTATAAACATCCCTCAGGGTGGGTTTCTTTTGCTTTATGCCAGGACAGAGAAGTCCCAGTGCTGTTGGAGCTGGTGGTTCCCAGCACAAAACACCACTGAAATGCTTTTTGTCCATTCTTTGCTCCCACATGGATCCTGCTGGGGCTGGAGTTCACAGCTCCCCACTGGCTGCCCCAGATACCCTGGGAGTTCTGCTTGATAACCTAAAATCTGCCCTGCTTTCCCCTTCCACTGCAGCTGCTTCTTTCTAGCAACCTCCAAAGCAGAATAAATAGATTTGTTACTAATTTGCAATAAGACTTTTTAACTTCATTAAGCAGAAACTAAATTATGTGGGTTTCACTTGAAATCCATTGGATTAATCCATACAAGTTTAAGCCATTATAGAGTCATCCTAAAAATTACTTTATTCATAAAAATTACACTGAGATACCTCCAAATTCAGTGATGACCTAAACTGAAAAAATTGATGGAAAACCTCATCCTGCTGTGGATGCAAAAACCAGCATCATCTCTAAAATCTGGAATTCTTGCTGGAAGCTGAGCATCCCATGGACAAGAACTCAGGTCCAGCCTGAATCCACCTGATGTACAGGGTGTATTTGAGGTCACTTAATCTCTTGGGTGTTTTGCAGTCCTGAGATCAAGAGTAAAGGAGCAGATCTGGGGGCGGGGGGGATGGGGCAGGCACCTTCTGCATCACTGCTGCAGGGAAACACTAAGGGAACCTTAAAGGAAAAAGAAAACCTGCTCAGGAAAAAAAAACCTCCCTCCCTTCCTCCATAACTTAATTCAGCCCATTTCCCAGCTGGGCAGTGGTAGCTCCTGGTTATGCTCACAGGGGCAGCTCCATCCTCCTCCTCCCCATGCCCAAACACACCGTCAGCATCAACCTGCTTGAGCAGTGAAGCTTCTCAGAGTTTGTCCTCAAGGACCAATAAATATCTTCACCCTGCTAGAGTGGCTGTGCAGAGCTGGGAGATGCTCCAGCCCAGCTCAAACACGTCGTCAGGTGTATTCCCATGGATGTCCTTTCCAGCTGGCCCCTGCCTGCAGGAATTCCTCACTCCAGAGATGAATTTTCTCCTTAAAATGAGAGCAGTGAAGTGACCTGAACAGCAAATGCACCCTAGGGGCTGCAAAGAACTCCCCCTCCACACATGCTCGGCAAAGCAAAGTTGCCCATAAATCACAGAAAAATCAGATCACAGAATAAAATGCAGCTTTTCTGGCTGTATTCAGCCAGCACAGTAAAGGGGTATTGGGATGGATGAACTACTTTTATTGCTTTTCTGTAATATTGGTTCAAACCTGGGACCAGGGAGAGCAGGATCCCAAGGTTGGCACAGGCAGCACTGGCCTCTGCAGGCAGTACACAAAGTAGAAGCCCAAAACCCCACAAGTATCCCCATGAAGAGCAGCAGACCTGCATAGGCCAGGTGATCCACTGATGCCATTCCTAATATCAGGAATCAGAGCAAGGGTAGATCCCCATGGCCCGGTTGTAGGGCCCGGGAGCTGTTCCTGGATCCCAGCTCCTCATCACCAACTTCATCCAAAACTGACACCAGCTTGGATTCAGGGCAAACAAAACATGTGGCCAGTTTAACTCCAAACCTCAAATGAAGACTTACATGGAAGAAATTCCACTGTTATTAATAACTTTTTTTGCATACTGAAGAGGAAGCCTTGAAGACATGCTGTTTCCACAGAAACTGAAGTGCTGGCAGGGGCTGGAGGTGGGATTCTCCCAAGCACAGGCACGACCTCAGGCAGCTCTGTTGAGAGACCTGAGCTGGCCCAAAAGCAACCTATATCAGTAAACACAAATAGATTCATATCAGTCAAAACAGAGAGATGAAGAGGGTGGAATGAAATGTTACCTACGCTGAAAAAAAGCCTTAAATGTTCTTCCTGTGTGTTTAAATACAGAGATTGCAGCTTCTAGCATCTCTGGGCTAAAAAAGGCTGATACCTGTGGGCTGCAGCTGGTGTCAGCATCTCACTAATTTCAGTTTTAACACTTCAGCTCTTCTGTTTCACTTTTATTTCCACACATATGTATCAACCCCATGAAGATGAGCAGTAGCAGCTTCTGTGCTGGGACCACATAGACCAAGATATGCAACTCCAAGGAGATCTGGATGTTTCCCCTCAATCCACACAGAGTTGCAGCATCCCAGGATGCTGAAGAATTTGGGAAAACCACACATGCTGGCACAAAGGAGCTGTTCTCCCTGGAAAAACACCCTATGGTCACCAAGGAGAAGGGACAGAGTCCCACAGGAGCCTGGCAGTGAGACAGGGATAGCACAGCATGGGAGGGACAGAGTGAAACCCTTTCACAGACAGGAGAATGAGCCCTTGGGCATTAATTTATTCAGGAAATACTTCTGGAGCCTCCTGGTATATTGAAATTCAGTAAATGGTTAGCAGTATTGCTAATCACTTCCACCAGGAATTTAATTTAGTGTAGAGTGGAGACAATCTCTTTTTCCACGCTCTGCTCTGGCCACACTTGTCACCATATTTTATTTTTAAGCGGGTTTCATTTCTCTTATGTCCAAATTATCTAAGGAAAGATGAACAGAGAGAAGGGGGAGGGAAGGCTTTCCTCAAAATCCACTGAGGGAGCCCTGATGCTAGGGTGGGAACACAGCAGAGGGAAGGAGGCAGGAGCAGGACCAGGCTCCTGCCCTGAACAGCATCACTGCACGTGTACCCTGAGGGAAGATCATGAAATATTGATTTCCATCCACAGATCTTCCACATTCCTGGAATATTAAGTTTTACTAACAATTTTGGAAGCTACAAGCTTCTGGTTTATACCCAACAGCACAAAGGGCTTGTTCTGTTTTAATTCCATGCAGAGAGGCCACAGAAAACTCATTTTAACAAACCAGTGGCTGAAGCACCTCAAGACAAGGACAATGACATTCCTCCAGGGCATGTCTGAATCCTGCAGGACTTAGAAAGAAAGGAAGGTGCTGATGCATTCCCAATTCCTGGAACAGCTGTGAAGGTGTCACCCGTGGACCCACTACCCTCCTCATGCTGGATTAACCAATCTGAAATCTCACATTTTCTGCTTTGTTTCACATAAATTTGCCACTTGTGCAAAGAGGATGAGAAGAAGTAAAACAGCTCAGGATTGACTTCTTGAATAACAGCAGATGTGAAAGCTATGACTACTAAAGCCTAATTTTTAAATTTAATTCCAATTTTAAAACAGACTCCAGCCATCCCTCTAGTTAGGAAGAGAGAGGACAAACAGCCCTGGCCCACATCCATTAAGCATCACTGTTCCCTGGGTGTAAATGAGTATGATCTGACTCTGCATCATCTCACACATTTCCCCTGAGATGCCAAAGCCAGGCCCTCAACATTTCTTTTAAATCAATGATTCTTTCAGCAAACAGTGTCATCTTTGTGACAGCTGAAGCAAATTCCAAGGAATTATTCAAAGGAGAAAGAGGCTTCTGCACTGTGAAGAACGCACGTGGAACGAGCCCCGACGGGGGCCCTCGGGAACACAGCTTGTCTTGCTGCAACATATGTTCCCCTGCTTTGTATTGTATTAGTGAATTAAAAAAGTCAAAATCATTTAAGAAAAATATTCAGAATTGTGGTGCTTTGACGTGAGGCTCTGGCTGCAGAACAGCTTTTCTTATTAAAGCAGGATCACAGAAAGTGGTTGTGCTTGGGCACCTGCTCCAGCAAAACTGTCCTCCAGCTGTGGGAGACTTCTGGGGAAAAAAAAGAGTTGGTAAATCCATTTTGGGTCCTCCAGAGCTGCTCTGAGGAGCAGGGCAGGACTGCAATGAGGCAGCCTCTGCATCCCAATCTCCTGCTGGAAAAGCCCAGCAACCTGGTCTAGTGGAAGGTGTCCCTGCCCATAGCAGAGGGCGGAATGAGATTTGAAGTCCCTCCCAACCCAAACTAGTCTGGGATTCTGGGATTCCATGAAAACCTGATTTGTTGCTGTCACTGATCCTGCTGAGCAACCCCTCATCCAGCAGCTTTTACATCTTTTGTGTCAAATCCAGCTGGAAATACTTGTCAGCTCTTATACACCAGATGTAAAGGATGTTTGTCATGCATTTAATTTCTCTGTCTGTATGTTGGCCAGAACCTCCAAGACATATTTTTATGAGCAGATATTTGTTGGATATTAGGAAAAATTTCTTCACTGAGAGTGTGGTTAAGCACTGGAAGGGGCTGCGCAAGGATGTGGTGGAGTCACCACTCCTGGAAGTGTTCAAAAAACAGCTGGGCGTGGCACCTTGTGATATGGTTTAGTGGGTATGGGGGTGTTTGGTTGAAGGTTGGACTTGATCATCTTGGAGATCTTTTCCAACCTCAATGATTCTGTGATATCATATCACCCTTTGGGGAGGAAAGGACTCAAAACTCAAATTACTGTAAATTCTCCAGGTGGCTGAATGGAAGAGGAATCCTGTGGTCAGGACATGGATGGAGGTAAGAGTTTTGCATTTCATGCTTGACTCCAGCATAGACCGACTCAGAGCAGCACCAGAACCCATCCCCTCTCCGTGACTGTCAAACAGGGATGGACACGTGCCCTCAGACAACCACTGTGTCACCAGAACAGGCCTCTCTCCACATAGATATTTATGTTTCAAACTCATTCATATTTTCAATGCCAGTGACCACACCAATACAATGTGATACTTAAGGCTGGGCTTAGATGGGCTGGACTGCTTGTCTGGAGCATCCCCAGGCCTGGGCTACTGTCCCAGCAAACCACTGGTGATGGGAAGGAAAAAAACAATGCAGCACAAGCCCTTAGTCCTGCTGGGAGCAACCCCAGGAGGCATTTTCAGGGGATGGGAGAATTTCAGCTAAACTTTTATTACAGCAGGATGAATGTTGCTTCACAAAATTGGCCCCCATTATGCTAATTAAATTTGAAGAGTTCATTAGGTAAATGGTAATTGCAATAACATGCTCTAAAGAAATGATGAACCACAAAGCCTGAGCTCAGGAAAATCACTGATCCCCTTTCCCAGATAACCTTCAAGCAGCTGTGTCAGGATTAACACAAGGAAACAGCATTTCCAAAACATGAGCTTTCCAGACCAACTGCTCATTAACAATTAACACATTGCAGGTTTCTTTCCCACTTTGGATGGTTTACTTTCAGAGAATCATTGAAGGTTGGAAAAGATCTTCAAGATCGTCAAGTCCAGCCTTTGATTTTACACCCCCATTCCCCCTAAACCATAACACAAAGTGCCACATCTAGTTGTTTTTTTGAACATCCCCGGGGTGGTGACTCCAGCACATCCCTGGGCAGCCCCTTCCAAGCTTAATCACTTTTTCAGTGAAGAAATTTTTTTTAAATAT